TATATATATATATATATGTGTTTGTGTAATGCTCTTAAATTTCCGAGTTCCTTGCCATTTTTCGCGTGCGCTTTGAGCTATTGAGCCACTTGTCAATTGTGGGCACTTACAGCTAAGTGGGCGTGGCCACAGGGGTTGCGGCGCTGAGAGGGCGAGAGGCGCATGGAGTAGGTAGATATTTCTTTATACCACTTACCATTACAGCGTTACGCTTGAAATCCATAAAGTTCTTCACCTCGGCCGCTAATTCACGCAGCAATATAATGCCATCCTTGCGCTTCACTTCGATGTCGTTGTCCTTAAAACGCTGCAAAGAGACAGCGAACAAGAGAAGAAGAAGAGAGTATGAAATAAGTATAAAAATAAATACGTTTGTCAATAAACTATGAAAATTTATATAGACTACGCACAGCATTTGGGGTAGTCCCGCAGCTGTGTGTGGATGGGTATGGATTGGAATGGGTGGGTCGGCAAAGGGTTATAAAAACTTTTCCATTTGCTGCTTTTATAATGTCCACGGCATAAAATTCAAATTTACTGCTGGCAGCGAGTCGCGCGTCTTGCCTCTTGAAAGTTGTTGTTATTAAACTGATTTTAATGTTGCTTTATTCATATAATAAGATTTTCATTGGCCAATTATTTCACTTAGTTGAGAGTTAAATTGCTTTGCCATGCCCCGGGGCACTTAGCATTCAGCTGAATAAGCAACCAAATCAAAGATAATTTTCTGCGTATTTTAGCTGAGAGGAACGTTTCGTAAGTTTCAAGCATTAAATTGCCCAAAAGTAATTGCGCAACGAGAACTCTGGATCACATTAGTAGGAATCGAGTCTGAGTAACTTTTATCAAATGAGACTTGCATAGAAAGGCGATAGAGTATTTTAATACTGTTAAATAGGAAGAAGAAAACGACATAGGTAAAGTATAGTAAAGTAAAGACAGATATAGATAGAGTGAGATGAAGACAAAGAACGGCGGGAGAATAACAGAAAGAGAATGAAAGAGAATGAAAGAGAGAAGAGAGAGAAGAGAGAGAGAGAGAGAGAGAGATAAAGCGAAATAATGAAATACACACTTTAAGAGAGCGAGAAAGCAACAGAGAGAAACATAGCGATAAACAGTAAGATAAAGGCTAGACTTTAACCCCGCCAGATATTCAGCTTATCATATTTCTATATCATTTAATACGTAATCAGAGTTCATTGACATTTTAGCTAAAAATATTCTTGGCGAAAATGTAAAAGTCAAAAGTCATCCGTGCGCCATTTGTTAATATCCGGCGGAAATGGATGAAAGAACGTTTTTCGTTACTTTCTTTTTACGTCCTTCGTTTTTCCATTTTCTGTTAAATGCAGCGAACATAATTTGGGCGTTTAAAATTCTCATGTTTGAATTAATAATGCGCTCAAAGACAGCACTCTGATTGCTACATGGATTTGTGCCACTTTTCTAGCTAACTGCAATTCACACATACACAGACAGGCATACACACACACACACGCTCGCTCAGTTGTATGACATTTTCTTTAGCGAACTAATGAATGCCTCAAAGAGTTTTCACAGTTTTAGTTTTGTGGCAGCACGAGCAGCATTTTGGCACCAACCGCAAATGTTTGCAGTGTCTCCAGTGGGTGTGTGTATATGCTCGAGCGTGTGTGTGTGTGTGTGTGCCCACAAAAAGCAGCGTCTGTTAGGTTCTTTGAATGCGTGTGTCTCAGCTCAGTCCCTACTGATGCTGCTGCTGCTGGCACTGAATCAGTTAAGAAAAGTTTTCTAATTAATTCGCTTGGGACATGTACATATATATATATATATATACCACACACACATACATAGATATAGAAATATGCTGCCAGTACGTTGATGATTACAAAATGCCGACGAAAATATAATTTAACTGACAGTTACTGCCCCTTTAGCCACGCCCACGCGCGCCCAGCTAATTGCATAGTTTTTCCTTTACTTTTCGGCTGTCATAAAATGCATTTGCAGCTCCAACTTACAGCTCAGAAAGAATGCTACACTTTTTCCTAGCTGCGAAAAAGAATGACTTGGAGAAAAAGCAAAGGCAGAAGAAGAATACGAAGAAGTAGAAGAAGAAAAATGTAAAAATCGAGCATGGGGGAAAACTCATCAAATCTCTTAGGAAAATGCCATTTTGCCCGGCGCCTTCGAACATTAAAACAAATGACAACACGTTTCAATGGAAAGATGATTATGTTTTCGCAATGAGATGTGTCTTAGTGTGTATCTATGTGTGTGTAGGTGGCAGGGGATGAGGCTGAGGCGTGGCAGCAGCACGTCAAATCAAAAGCAAAGCAAAATGTGTCAGACATTAACATGGCCACTAAATGCGTGTCTCGTTTAAGTGTGTGCGTGTGTGTGTGTGTGTGTGTGTGGAAAATGAAGCCAAACTTGAGTGAGCAAGAGAGACAGAGAAGAGGAGAGAGCGAGCAGGCAGGCACAACTGTCTGCTGTTCAACGGCATGTGAAATTTAATTAGACACATTAAGCAGCAAAGTGTTTTTTAAGAGCGAAATATACATCAAATATATATGTATATGTATATACATATACGTTTATATCACATGTCATTGGCATGAAAAGTCGTTAAGTAATTTCATCTATAAATAGTTGGCTAAATGAAATGGAAAAAGCCAAGTCTGAACGATTTTCCCTCTTAGTTAACTTATGCTGAACGTAAGCAGAAATGTACTCAAAATTGTCATTAAATTGTACTAAATTTAATTATAATTACATATAATAAAAATACATATATTAATTACAAATATATTAAGTTGAATAATGAAGAAAGAAAAAAGACCAGCTAAGAATCAAGCAACTTCAATGAAACGCCTTGCAGCACACTCAGCCCGAGCTAATGAACTTTAGGGAGCGGCATCCCGAGCCCATAAACACAGGGTATTTCCTATCACAACTTTAGTCATTATCATAGTACGAAAAGCCGCTACTTGCTATGACTCAGTTATCCACCTAGTGGCCTCATTGAAAAGTAGAATAATCTTTGCTGGAAATCTGAGAAATCACGCATATGCAACTATATTCTCTATGGCCTTCAGCTTAAGGCATCTAATTTGGAATTGCTCAAATACTTTAAACAAACTTTGATAATGAACAGCAGGTGATCTGCATAAATGAAAAGAAATAAACAAATAACAAATAGATAAACAATTTGATAATAAACACTTGCTCTATAAGTTCTCTATAAATATTTATGCTAATGCTAATGCTACCTGATACCCTGCTCTGGGTGTAAAAAATTGAAATACAAATTTTGGATTATGCCTCGATAAAATGAGATGAGATTTGAGAAATCGTACATATTCTAGCCAATCAATACTTTAAATACCCTACAGCATTAATTTACAGGGCATAAATGATCGAATTTCACCGATTTGCAATATAAAAGGCCAGCCATAAAAATATAGAAATGAGTTCTGCCAGAATGTCTGCGAAATACGTTTCTGTGCTTCTGTTTTTTGGATTCTTTGCTCTGTGTGTGTCATATAAATTATATCCAGTTATAACACCTGGTAAGTAGGTCTAAAGTATTATCGAAAAACATTTATTTAACAAAATTCCTGAAGATATTCCAGCCAACACGAACCTTACAACGGGCCCATTTGTTAGGATCGGAACTGGATATTACTTTTTCGAGTTAAACAACAAGAAAAACTGGTACGAAGCCTATGAAACATGTCGAACGATGAATGCTGAATTAATCACGATAGAAACTATCGAAGAATGGAACATTATCAATCGATATATTCGTGACACGAATATTGATTACTCCTACTGGACATCAGGCACAGATCTTGGTAAAGAGGGATACCACACATGGTTTTCGAGCGGAAAACCAATTAATATTAACATCTGGGATCCAGGAATGCCCAATAATGTCGACAACTTACAGCACTGTGATGAAATGGGCTGGAGGGATGGTGTTCGAAGTGGACTCAATGATCGTCAGTGTGAATTTTTGAATCGTTATATCTGCGAAGCTAAACAGCCTGTAACTGCCTCGTTTGTTCTCTGGTAATATTAATTTGGTCAAAATAAATAAACTAACGATACATGTATTGTTCATGAATGCAATGATTTGCGAATAATAAACAGGCAATAAACAAGTCAAAATATTTAGAAGAACTAAGAATTGAATTGAGATCGAAAAAGTTTGCAATAAACAAGTCAAAATATTTTGAAATGAAAATTCAATTTTGGCTGAGAAATATTTTGAATACAATTCACACAATACACGTGAGAAAGAACAAATTTACATCACACTGGATAGGAAATTAGGTAGGTATTCTCTCGATTTTTGTTATAAAATGCCTGACATATGGAAAGAATCTCATAAACGTAAAAGAAATTTTTGTGGAATACGTTTCATGTCTGAAAGTTTTCGGATTGTTTGCTCTAAGCATGGCATATAAATTACATCCAGTTATAACACCTGGTAAGTTTTCAAATTCGAATATATTGCAAACAGTTTCTACTAAAATCTATATATAGATATACCGGCCAATACGAATCTGACAACGGCTCCATTTGTTAGGATTGCTTACGGCTATTACTATTTAGAGGTGGAGAAACTCAAAAACTGGTTTGAAGCTTACGAAACTTGTTGTACGCTGGATGCTGAACTGATAACGATAGACTCTATTGAAGAATTGAATGATATCAATAGACATATTCGTGAGTGGCCAATTGAGTATTTGTACTGGACATCCGGCACGGATCAGGGAAAAGAAGGCACGCATATTTGGTTCTCCAACGGTGAGCCCATAAATAATGATGTTTGGATTGAAACACAGCCCGACAATGCTGATAATTTGGAACACTGTCACGAAATAACATATAAGGGTAAATTGACGGGAATAAACGATAGAAAATGTAATGAATCAAATCGCTATATCTGCGAATCACGAAAACCAGTAACTGCTTCATTTGTGCTTTGGTTATTATTAAAATGTATAGCGTTTAATTTTATGTTGCTAAGCTGTAAAGGTAAACAATTTTTAAAAAATGGAACGCAATTAAAACGGAAGAGAATATTACTTCAAAAATTTCATATATTATTAA